TTTTTAATTTTGTTTATTTATTTAGAGACTTTTGCCTTAGGGCACATGTGCTCACTGGAGAGAAAGACAGAGTCAGATACAGTGAGACGGAAAGCAAGAAATCATCTCCCAGAGGGAATGGCCACACGGCAATCCCTTCTCCTTTATTCTCCTCCTGGGATCTTGGGTATACAAGCTCCTGTTATCCTGGCTGACTGAGAGAGAAATGGATAGAATTCTCTAAATCGTGTCAAGGGTGCTGTATCTCTGCATTTCTTTTTCTCTATCTCTCTTACTCATCAAATAAATAAATAAATGTTTTTAAAAATGGCCGAAACTTAAAATTGTAACTGATACAGTTAAAGCTATAGATTCAATAATGGTTAGAACAATATGAGTGAGTCTGAAGTATTATGAAAAAAAATAAGCAAAGGTAGGATCCAAATAAAGGCATAGCAATATTTCTCTTCATGGATTTTACTCTTCTAGGCCAAGAATGAGTTTCATGTAGTTCTGAGATGAGCTATAAGCTCCAAAGAAAAATTAGGCAACAGAGCCTCTTTTTATGAAACAGTCCATTATTTTTATTCTTCCATGTGATAGTTTCTCTTTTTCTTGAAAAACACTTCCCCCAGTTCTCTTAAAAAAAAAAAAAATCCATGTTTAACTTTACAGAACTCCCATAGAATAAATCTGCTCATGTTTATACTCACAAAGTATTCATTTGTATCGAGAGTCTGGGATTCAATATGTAGTTTGAATGTAATTCACTGTACTACCACATGTTCAGTAGTCTGTACTCAGATTTACATTTTAGTTAAAAATGGAAGTTCTAGTCTGCTTTAAAAATAGTTTTAATTCCTCAGTTACTATCACATAACTTTTCTTGGCTTGGATCACTTTCTCACAATGGGAAGGAGAAATTACCTGTATAGGCCTCCAAGTAGAATGACTCTTAGAGGACTAGCTGAGTGGTTTATATCATTCTCATCTATCCTTACTGTCAACATGATGTACCTCCTGTGTGGAGCTTTTGTTCAGACAGCTCAAAAAAGCCAGGAGTACAAGACTGTACGGGGCTTTACCCAAACGGCACTATGATGTCTTGTTCATACTGTTTTACAGGAAAAGAAGGAGGCTGTTGAAAGTGGCAAACGACAAATTGAGAACACTTTAAAAGAAGGCAACGACATACTCAATGAAGCCAACCGTCTGGCAGATGAAATCGACTCAGTCATAAATGTGAGTATTTGATAGAACCCAAAGTTAAAAGACATAATCATGACAGGCTCAAGAAATGGAAACCGATGAGAAATCTCAGTAATATAAGCAATTACTAATATTTTCCTGTGGACATAGATTAATTTTCCCATAATTCTGTTGTGAGTATGCCAACTGATGGGTAATAATTAGAATTGTACTTTGCCCTTCCAATTGACATAAACGTTTGTGTTTTTTCCCATTGTGATAAAGGGCTTTTCTTGTTCCTGGGGTAGCTCTTATAATCTGCTTTGGTATTTACATAACATTAGTTAAAAGACAAAGCAAATCTACAAATAGACAAATGGACTGTTAAAATGCAAAATGTAGAGTGATATATGGTAACAGAAATGCAAATAAAAGATCCTAATGACTAGTATTTGTGCATTTACATCTATGAAGTAGCGTTTTTAAAAAGGATGGGTTCTGCTTGGTGTAAATTGGCTTCATAAATTCCCAATCTCTTTCATTTATAACAGCTTTTCTTATTCTCTAGTCTCTTTTTCCTATGTCAGTAAATATGAAATCTAATCTTTCAAAAACTAAGCATGTATAATTATGTTTCAGAAAAGTTAGTAAATGAAAGGAGGCTAGGATGCACTTGCTTAAAGTGCTCTCTCTTCTCCACATATCAGTATGTTGAAGACATTGAAACTAAATTGCCTATGATGTCTGAGGAGCTTAAAGATAAAATAGATGACCTCTCTCAAGAAATAAAGGACAGGAAGCTGGCCGAGATGGTGTCCCAGGCTGAGAGCCACGCCGCTCAGCTGAATGACTCATCTGCTGTCCTTGATGGGTACGTCATTTGTTGTTGAAAATGTCTATGTATCTAGACACTTGTCCAAAAGTTTTGACCAGTAGAAATGGTAGATAATTACTTTCAAATCCTGATTACACACTAGCTATATGGCCTTTTTGTGGAAGAGCCTAATTAGGAAGGTCTGGACAAAGCACTCCTGGAGTAGCATCAAAAGTCTGAGTTAAAAGTGGATGCAAATATGGCTTAGTAGGAAGTGAACATAGCTCTAAGCTACACTTAGAAAAATCCTTTTCTGTTCTATATTAGAAAGCACAGCAGTCCCTTATTAGCATTTTAAATAACAATATATAAACACATATTCTGCTTCAAAATTCAGTTTTATATTTCTAATGGAATTAAAACAAGTTATTGTTAAAAAAGGGGACTTTTGAAAATGTAGCCCTCTAGTGTACGAATCTTTTCTCTCTCTGTCAAACTCCAGGGAAACAATACATACTTTCCTGTGAAATTACAGCTCACACTAACTGAGATTATTACATGGGCCAGAGGTGGGAAAACCAGGAAGGAAGGGTATGCTTGACTTGGAAACAGTCTGGGTATAAGCGATATTCTTCCCCTACAATTTTGGGGTTGCTATCATTGGTACAGGTGCTATTAGCCCCAAGAACAATTGCCATATACAAGGTATGTTCCTGTACTTAAGCCTGTTGATACAAAGGGAAATATTAATATTTGAAGACCCTGTTCCCTGTACAATTCATTTTATAACAAACTCTCAGCACTTTAGAGTGAAGGGTAGGAGATAGAATAGGAAGCCAGTGGTCAGCAGATCGAGCTTCCAAGTCCTTGATTAGGAATATGTCAGTTATGTGCCCTGAAGCAAGCCATGAAGCCTTCTGAGATTCATTTATCCTCCTGTAGGATATGCACCTACCCCGAGGAATTCTATGAAATTCATTCCAATAATGTGGTACAAGTGCTCTGAAGCCTGGAACACACTTCACAAATAAGGCGAAGGATTGTCCCATTGCACTTTTCTGGTGCATGTTATTGCAGGAGTTTTTGGAGAGTGCCATGTGTATTTAAGATATCTCGGTTGTACTTTGTAGCTGAATTATTTAGGAATCTGAGTTCAAGTTGAAAACTAAAACACAATGTAACAGAAAGATAACTGTGATTTGTTATTTTCATAATTATATTGGCTAAGATCATTTGGAAACTATATTTGTTGTAGTTAGGCTTTCCTCATTTGAGAACCACTGAATGCCCTGACATTTTTTTTTGGGGGGGGGGTGTCATCCCAACAGAATCCTTGATGAGGCTAAAAATATATCCTTCAATGCGACTGCAGCCTTCAACGCTTACAGCAATATTAAGGACTATATTGATGAGGCTGAGAAAGTTGCCAGAGAAGCCAAAGGTCTTGCACAGGAAGCTACAAGACTGGTAAGAAACAAATAACATTGCATACTAAGAACGGAGGTCAAGTTTTTTGAATAAGTAGCTAAATTTTTTAATTTAAGGGAGCTATGGAAAATTTTAGTAAATGAGAATATTTACTTTGAAGTGTTTTTGAAGGAGGCCTCTTTCAAATAAATCTTCACTATTCTATTACCATAGAACTCTTTTCCCAGTCACCCACCACTTCCCACCATCACAGACTTGAAATGATCACAGACGCAGAACAGGTTTGTACCACGATTCTAAATGCAGGCAAACAGAACACATTGGATGTGTAAATTTATCACCATTATTTCCAAAGTCATCCTACAACAAAAGTGCTTGGAAATTAATACTATTTCTGATAGTCCCACAAAAGTTGGTCATACTTGAAGTTTAAAGATTAAGTGCACATTTTATAAAACACATCAGACGATGTCATTCTTACTACTGTATTGAAAGCCCTTAATCTTTTACTGTGATCATTGTTCAAAATTTATTTGAAATCAATATTTTAGAGTTTGGGGGTTCCAAGTTACATCACATTACTGAGTGTCTTGGATAGTGCCAATCTTCATCCTTATATATAAAGCAACTTTTAGTGAATAAGTTTTGTGATAAACCAAGGTAATACTGTTTTAGGTCAAAAACAAATGACAGGAAGCAGATTGTGTGTTAAAGTGTTCAGAACAGTCATTTACTCATTTGCTTCACACAGAATCTCCTAAATACATCAGAATTTGGGATGGAGGAAAACTGGACATCTACCTGTGAATAAAATATTCATACATAATGATGTTAAAGAAAGAGATCAAGGGACCAGCAGATGGTGTAATGGTTACATTGCTGGACTCCCATAGAGTTGACCACTGTTCAGGTCCCAATTCATGCCAGGAGAGTGTCCGTGTTTGCCCAAAATCCTGACAGGAGAATGGAGGAGAAGGGATTGCAGTCTGGCCATCCCTCTCGTGGAGTGATTTCTCACTTTCTGTCTCTCTGTCTTTCTCATTATCTCCAGAAAGCGCACACACCTTATAGCAGAAAATCTCTCTAAAAAACCAATAATAATAAAAAAGATCAATATTTTCTTTGTTTTGAATTGGGCAAACATTTTTTTTAAAACCCAGAGATATTAGAGATACTTACCATTCTCTTAAGGAGGTTAGTTTGTGTCATATTAGAAATATCACACTCTCTGAGCCATTATTACTACTTTTGGTTTCTCTGAAATGAGCTCTCCTAATGCCATATGTTCTGAGTGGTTCTTATTCATGATAGCTGCATGATCACTGCAGACAATTTCATATGCTCAGTTATCCCTTCAAAATAATCTATTTTTCAAATCAAATCTGAAGGGTTTTTTTTGTTTGTTTGTTTGTTTGTTTGTTTTTGGAGAGGTTTTTGCTCTAGGGCGCATGAGCTCGCAAGAGAGATAGAGACAGAAAGTGAGAAATCACACCCCCCCCCCCGGGGGAGGATGGCCATGCCACAATCCCTTCTCCTCCATTCTCCTCTCAGGGTCTTGGGCATGCACACACATGCGCTTGGTGTGAGTTTAAGCCACCAGGTCCGGGACTTGAACCGCGGTCAACTACATGGGAGTCCAGCAACATAGTCGTTAGACTAACTGCTGGTCCCTCAAATCTGAAGTTTTTAACCCATCTTCTTAGAAATCATTTTCTATTTCAAAGACCCTAATTTTGGGTTGGCCACTTTCATCTAACTCATTTTATTAAATGGCCATTTTTAACATCCAGCACAGTACCTGGCAAATAGTAGGCATTCATAAATGAATAAATGAATTTTATTATAATTGATGCCTTTCATACCTACTTACAACCTTTCATACCAATAAAAATCTTGGTCTTATCTTTGCTTTTTCAGTTGTTTTCCCAATTTAAAATTTATTCAAAGTCAGTTATGAACTTGAGTTTATATAAATCATGAATGATCCAGAGTTGAAAATGGGTCCATGGTTGCCTGGTTGCATGATTGTTAAACATTTTATACTAATAGCTATGTCTGAAATTGTCATCTCATGTTTTATACTCTAGTGTAGAATTCATTTTAAATTACACCCAAAGTATTACATAGGTGGCTTATGCCACGACTTATTTATTGCTGTAGACAAAATAGCTGGAATTATAAATGGTCATTATGTCAATATTTTCTGGTGTTAGATAAATTACAGCATAGATTATGCCATACTACTTTTAAAAACATTATTAGGGGACTGGCAGGTGGAGTGGTGACTAAGGTGCTGGATTCTCACATGTCCAGCCATGGTTCATATCCTGCACCTGATGGCTTGTTTTCAGTTTCTCTCTCTCTCTCTCTCTCTTAGGAGGGCACACATGACCTACAGCAAATTAGTAATAATAATAATAATAATTCTTAAATTTTTAAAATTTAGGTAAAATTTAAGTTAGAGTAATGGCTATGTCACTGAACTCCAAAGTAGCTGACTGCAGTTTGAGTTCTGGACCCAGTGGCTTAAACTCACGCTGGGCACATGTGCATGCGTGCCCAAGATCCTGAGAGGAGAATGGAGGAGAAGGGATTGCGGTGTGGCCATACTCCTTGCAGGGCGATTTCTCACTTTCTATCTCTCTGTCTCTCCCTGTCTTTCTGGCGAGTGTGCGTGCCCTATAGCAAAAACCTCTCCCAAAAAAAAAAAAAAATTACTACTCAAACCAGTCTCCTGAAATTTTACCCCATGTTTATCCTAGTAGTTTTACAGTTTCAAATCTTACATTTGTCTTTAATCTATTTTTAATTAGTTTGTGTATAGGTATAAAATAAGGGTTTAATTTTTTTTCTTTTACATTTGGATATCCAGTTATCTTAACACCAGTTACTGAAAAGACTGTCCCTTCCCCAGTGTGTTTTCTTGGCATCTTTGTCAAAAATCAATTGAATTTGAATGTGTGGATGTATTTCTGGGCTCTTTACACCATTAATCTTGCAATAGAATGATTAAAAATTAGTGCACTTCAAATGAGTGTTTGTTTAGAAATATAGAAATATTCTCTCTTCAGTGTGTCATATTTAAATTCACTTTTTGTAATTGGCTGACAGAAAATAAAGAATATACATGCAGTATGATTTTGAGTTATTTTCTACTTAGAAAACTGTGAAAATATTAGAAAAGTACCTATTGCATACCAAAGGTTCAATATCGTGTCAACCAAGTGGTAAACTTTAACTCACATATTCCTTATAATTTACTCTCTCAACCATTACATAAAAGTCATTCAAACAGTAATTTTGACTTTTTATTAATATCTATAATTATTGGAATTTACATTTTATACCAGTGTAGTGTTAATGGGAAAATAACACAATATCATAAATTGATATTATATTTGAATCTGTCCCCAAGATGTGAACATTTTTTATTCTTCATTGACAGTTCAGCAATGTATCTGAGAACTAAGCAATTCACACAACAGTGAATAGGAAAAAGTGAATTAGAATCTAACTTGCATAGAAAACATTAGATGTATGTGAAAAAGTGTTCATTATGCATCCCTTAGTGATTTCTTTATACATAATACACTCATTTGAGTCAATAATTTAAAAACAATCTATTAAAAACAGATAGGCAAATTTATATTTTATGAGCCAATATTAGATATATTTAAAAATTTAGATCATAAAATGATTTTTAAAAAATTGGACCAGTTTCATGATGCAGTGAGAATGTACTACTCAAGGAGCCAGATTCCAAATGGTGATGACAGTTTGCATCTCTGATCTTATCAGTCTGAAAAGCACCAGGCACAGATGTGAGTGCCCCAAGTCGTATGGTCTGAAGGACTGGAATAAGGCAATTGCAGAGTAGTCCAGTATGTGTGAAGGGTACTTCTCTTTTTCTTTCTTTCTCTCTTTCTTCCTCTCAGTTTTATATGCATGCACATGTACTCTTTCATGAATAAAGGAAAAATTCTTTAACTAAAAGCCTGTGTTATCAGAAATAGAGAAAATTTGGGGGATGTTGCTATAATGCCATGTAAGTATGAATTAATATTTGTCAAGACAGCAATGTTCTCCGTACCATTCTACTATTTTCAGTATTCTTGGGATTTCTACCCACAGAGGAAATAAAGAAGTGACATTGCCATGTTGACTTTGATTGTGGACACTAACTTAAAAGAACACTCTAAGCCTTCTGAGAATGATGTCATAAAGAAACTTCCTCCATTTATTTTATTCAAAGTCCCTATAGGGAACCAGCAGTTAGCGTAATGGCTATGTCGCTGGACTCCCACGTAGTCGACCACGATTCACGTCCCAGACCTGGTGGCTTAAAACTCACACCGGGTGCATGTGCGTGCATGCCCAAGATCCCGATAGGAGAAGGGATTGCGGTGTGACCATCCCCCCTGGGGGGGGGTGATTTCTCGCTTTCTGTCTCTATGTCTCTCTCTGTCTGGCGAGCGCAAAATTTTTCCCTTTTTTTCTCTGTCTCTTTCTGCTAGCAAAAACCTCTTAAAAAAAAAAAAAAAAAAAAAAGTCCTTATAGTACCTACAAATCCTGTAACTAATGTCTAACTCTTGGCCAGTCCCTGCCTCATTGCAGAAAGCTAGCAGCCTGCAATAATGACTGTCATGCTGTAATTGGGGAAAATCAATTCTTACTTGTTTATACATTTTTAAATCTTTGATTGTCTTTCTTAGAATACCCATCATACTAAAACTGTACAGTCACAAATTCCAAACTCTTATGAGCAAGTATGGAGTTTTCATATTTCATCTCTAAACCTCTCTTGTGTGTTCAGTTGCTTTGAGTCTTTCACAGAGACTTATCTAATCCCTCTACCATTCTGGGATATACTGTGCAATGCCAGGAATTTATAGCCTTTCAACAGATTTCTGTCAAGCCATTCCTCTGGTTTTCTTTACTTATTTTTTGATTCACTATTTCATTTTAATATCCTGTTGTAGTTAAAGATATATAAGTTATATTAAAATACCTTTAAAGTTGATGCACAGTGATTTCTACA